TGCATTCCAAAGACATCCTACCAAAGATGGCACCAGTTCTCACTGACACACAAATATGGTACTGGCTACAAGTGAGCCTGGCTATTGCCTTGGAGCCTTCCCTGTTTCTGAGGGCCAAAGCTCCTGTCTTGGGTCTGCCACCTTTCAGGGCAGACACTCAGTTTCCTGGCTGTATATGCAAGGAAATGTCATTTTTTAAAGTTCTGGTTTAAGACATCTGCAACTCATGGGGGATGTTAGAGAAATTAAATGAAATTAAAATGTTTACTTATTTTTACAGAAGCATCCCACGCTTAGCTGTAACCAATACCTGGTCTAGGTTCCAAATGTATCTTTTCAAAACAAGCCTGCACACCTGTGTACTCCGTATAGAGAGCTGTAAGGGATCCAACACTTATTTTGCACAAATGCAGTTAAGGGAACATTTTTGTGGCTTTTTTAAAAAATAAAAGAAAATAACTTGCCTCCAAAATGTCCCTTTGCAAAAATCTGGCCAGGCCTTTCATGGTGCAAACAAATGGTATCGCCTTACTGTTCTCAAAATACTACTTTTAAACAAGGTTCTTATAGCATGATAGACTTATACACGGGCCTAGCCTGCAACAGGACGTTTCACAGATACCTTTTCAGGGTTGTTGTTTGTTGCTCAGGTACTGAATCAGGGCTGCACAACAATGCAATAAAATTTATTTAAAGTAAGGGATCCATTCATGGCTCTCCCATTGTCACCTCAAGCTTGGGGCCTTCAAAGTTTGGGTACTGTCTGTGTCCCATGACTGCAACCTGTGAATGGAGTACCATGCCCCATAACCTGCTGAATATTAGATGGTAGTGTTGCCAGCACTTTCTCTGCAAAGGCCAGGAGGTTTTGAGGATCGTGCCTGGGTGGGTGAAATTAGGGAGAATGTGATGTCACTTTTGGGTGAAGGTCTAAGAATTTACCCTAATCTCTAGGCTGAGGACCATAGACACATGGGGAGGTCTCCAGTGTATCACGATGGAGCAGGAGTCCCCAACCTTTTTGAGCCTGTGGACACAATTGGAATTCTAACATGGCATGGTAGGGACAGCAACAAAATAGCTGCCGCAGGAAGTAGAGCCAACCACAAAATGATTGCCACAGCTTCCCTTCAGTCACACAGTGTAGATCCTTGGGCTGTGGTGGCAGCTGCTGTCAAAGCAACATTTTAAAAAATCTGCACAGTCAATCAAATCTCCAATAGTCAATCAGAAGCCCTACCTGGCCCCACACACTTCCTAAAAACACCTGGCAGATGCCATGGCGCTCACAGTCACCATGTTGGGGACCCTGGCTAGGGAGACCGTTTTTTCTCCTGCTGTTCAGTTTCTCAGGGGTGGAGATTTGCCTGTCATGTGCGAACCAGGACCATCCAGAACATCCAAAAGGCAGGAATCATCAAACAAAAATCATTTGTTTGAAGCCTATTGCTGGACCTATCTAGACTAAAAAACTATGCCTTTCACTGTCATGGCTTTCTGCAAAGAATCCTGAGGACTAGTTTGTCAAGAGTGCTGAAAAAATTGTTAGTTTTCCCTGTCCCCTTTTCTTTGAGATGAGAGATTACCAGTTTCAGTACATTGTGTGCATATGTCCTAGTATGAATTAAACAGATGGGAGCAGAGAGCACTTTATTAAAACATTTATACCCCACTATGCACAATATGATGGCATGTGGGTGGGTGTGCACGCACACACATATGCACTTGCACTGGATTGTGGTGAACTGCTGCACTCTGAATATCACACCAATAAAAACATGATCTCAATAGATTATGAAGGAATGCACCACACAGAAAAAAAGAATGTGTGTGTGTATGTGCCACACTTAGCAGTTGCCAAGTAAATGCTAATGCTAAATGAAACAGTATAGTTTTCTTAACGCTTACAAATGTTATGCCACAGCTATCAGTGAGACACATGCTAAATAATTCTTTAAAATATTTGCAGGTTAGAACTGTAGTCACCATTGTCCTTAAAAGCAAAGTGTTTCCACTAGGTATTTTTCTTCTGTTTCTTGTCCTCTTGGAAACCCTAGTATGGGACAGGCTCAGCTCCCCAGGTAACCAGTCTTCCCATTGACACAGAAACTATGCAGTGCTGTGGCAAAAGCAAAGCAAATTCAACACACTGTCTAAATTAATAACTACTTGAGAGTTTATTGACTGCAAAATCATTGGTAATGTTTATTTTTAAGCCATTTGTTTGTATGTAGTGTAGAACAGCTTGGAAACACATTCATTCGGCTTGAAGTTCCTTAGTCTCTTCCAGTGTCATATCGCCCAAAGTTTACTTTGGCTAGGAATCAAAATGCTGCTTGGCTACCTGCAATGCAATTTAAACACCACCACCCAACCTTATAAAACAAGTGAGACTGATCCCATATCCTATATTGCTTTCGAAACTCTGTGTTTTAAAAGCAGTTTGCTATGAGGCATGCAAGGCTACTGTCAAAAGAGGAACAAGACTGGTAGTGCAAGCTGAAGCAGAGTTATACCTTTCTTATTCCACTGAACTCTATCGGCTTCAGAGGATGTAACTCTGCCTAGAAGGGCATTGTATAAGAAGACCCTTTTAGGTTTATGAAATTAGGTCAATGGCACTTGGATTCTGGCTGCCGTTTCTGAGACAAGGAACCACCTACCGCCAAAGTTCATTCATTAAACTGTATAAATGAATTAAAATTCAAGGTATGCATTGCTTTCATAGGCAAGAAAATGCCCTTTTAGACCATGTAAGAATAACTTGCTTCCTGAGAGCCTTTGCTTCTGGGCCTACCACTGGAATGGAAAGCAGCAGCCTAGAGAACTGACTCCTCCAGAAATGCAACAGGGGAACTCTGCTGCATCTCTGCATCCAGAGCAGTTGATCCAATTCTAGCCAACAGAGATGCCATTGAATTGCCTACCCAGCTATGGCTGCTTGGAAGGAAGTATAACCAAAGCAGTGAACTGGAACTAAAGCAAACAGAGATACCTGAGGCAGCCTCCTTTATGGGCTACTAGTTCAGACTCACCAAGCTGCTATTTGCTTCTTGTGGCACTAAGAGATTTCTCCCAGCACCTGGGCAGGAAAGTACTGAAAGATATGGAACAAATACCCTGGCAGGGAGCAGCAAATCATGTGGATTTGTCAATCATCTGAAGCCATGAAAGGGAACCAAAATTATGGCATTCCCTCCTCAGAGACCTTCATCTACCTCTCTTGATCATCATCTTCTACCAGCCAGTGAAGTCTTTTCTGTTTCATCTGACATGCCCTAACTGACCCTCATCCCAGATTGTTTTCAATTTCTAGTTTTAGATGTCTTTTAAATTGCTGTTTGATGCCTTGGGTACACTAACTGGGCAGAAAGGTGAGTTACAAATGTTTTAAATAACAATAAATAAAAGAATCTACGTGCGGAGCCATAGAGAAAAGGCAAGAGAGCTTATTCAGGTATCTTTTGATTTAAACTGAAACACTCCCTAGCTGCTCCCATACCCGCCCAACATTTCCCTCAAAGCTACACACTGACTTGCTGGGAATGTTGACCTGTGATTGGTTGAGTGACTCTGCACTTCACACAGTTGTCATGGTTGGTGTGTATCACATTGGTGTCTCCCCCAGCAACTATTGTCCACTGTGAATAAGGCATGCTGTCCTTACACACCACTGGACGTGTGCCTAAAGTCATGACTGGGTTGTGCTGATGGTCTTTCCATCTGTCCTGAGAAACCACAGTATGACACCTCTGTGCATCCTGTCACAAGAGCCACCTGAAGCTCCAGGCACCCCCACCAACATTTCCCCAAATGCCTATACTTGCCAGTGTTGAAAGTACACAAGCACACTCATGGGGAACATCAACTGGTGGTGAGGAGTATTGGTGGTGAGGAGGAAATAACAGAATTTTCTATAGCCACTGTAGAGCTACCCCTACTCAAAGTGGGGTTTTCTTCTTTTCTGAATCAGTAAGTTTCTTATTCAGTACTAGATATTTTTTCTGCCTTCAAGGAATTTACGTGGCCATACTCTCAGCAACTGGGTGAGGCAGGTTAGATGGAGAAACAGTTTCAAAGCGGAGTGGGAATTGGAGTCCAGGTCTCCCTGTGCAAAGTTCTCTGTCCACGGTAGGGATTGCTGCTAGAAGAGTGAATGTGTGTGTGTTGGGGGTGGTGGTGTTGCATCGGTCAGTCTCTCACTGTTGGATTAAGTTATGATGAATTTTTTCTATTTAATGTATTTTTTAATCCCACCCTTCCTCCAAGGGGCGCAGGGACAGCCACCCCGTTTGCTTAACCTACTTCACAGGGTTGCTGCACACGAGGACTGTTGTCAGGATAAAAATAGAAGAGGGGGAGAAAAATGCTGTAAGCTGCTTTGGGTCTCGATTAGGGAGAGAAAAGTGGAGTATAAACAGCTAAATGTTTATTTAATCACTCACCCAGGAAGCTGAGTGAACATGCTTAGAAGTGCGCGTACAGGCTGTAAAGAAGGCGTTTCGGGGCAGGGCCCTCTGCGCGCAGCCACCCTCCCCCGAAAGTCCCACTGGTGGGCGGCCATTCACGTACACGCGTGTAGGGCACCCATAACGTGCGAACGAGCTATCCCCACCCCATTGGAGGTCTGGGTGACGGACGAAAAAAGGGGCACCCGGCTTTCCTCCCTTCTCCGAACTTCCTTACCCGCAGGTACAAATCTGGCACAGGCACTGAGGCGGCTTCATCCTCCCGACCGCGGCTCCTGCTCCTGCCTGCCTGCCTGCCTGCCTTTGCCCTCGCAGCGTCTAGCCTCCTCCCTCCCGACTCCGCTCGGTAACCAGGGAAGCGCCCCGTCGCCTAGCAACCCCGCCCGGCATCTTTCTGCGTTTCCGACAAGCCCCTCCCGGCTTCCGTAACGCAGCGATGTGGGCGGTGCTCAGGTTGTCCTCACGAGCAGGAAGCATGCCGTGCCCCGTCCTTTGCGCGTGCGCGTTGACACGGTCCGAAGAGAGGCACTTCCGGCAGTGGTCCCGACGAGGAGGTCGGAGCTTTTCCGCTTTCCTTTCGCGGAGCGGTAAGCCTGTCTTCTTTTTCCCACGTAAAGTGAGGGGTAGTTAGGGTTTGGGAAGCGGGAACAGTTTCTGAAGGAAGAGGTGACATCCCCGGTTCTCAGCCTGTTTACCAGATTGCTCACATACCTGCAGCTCCAGGCAGGTTTTTGTTTAATTTGTTTTCCTCTTTCGGCTCATGTAATTAGTTTTGTATTGCTATATTTATTTTATTTCTATGTTTATTAACTCTGTATTTATACTAGCTCTATATTTACGTGTTACTTCTATATTATTTGTTTTTCATTTTTATTGTATTTGTATTTTATACTTATTTTATCTAACTGTTTTTTGTATTCAGTGTTTATTTCATTTGATATTTGGGTTTTTAATTTGTTTTTGCTCGATATTGGTGTGGTATTTTATTTTTTACTATATCTCATATTTATTATATATGTTGTATTTGTTTTATATGAGTAAGATTTCAATCCAGTGCACTTTACAGACCAACAAGATTTCCAGGGTATAACGTTTCCAGAGTCAAAGCTCCCTTCATCATATTTGTGTTGATATTGTTTTGTATCTTCCATATCTTGCATTTGTTTTGCTGTCTCTCTTTTGCTTGCCTTGTGTAACCCCAGTGTGGGTTACACTATTGGTTAAAAAACAGCACAACAGTATCAAAATGTCACTCATAAATACTGCTGAAAACGACAGTGTAAAGTAAGATACTTGCCACTAAAAAACTAACTGGAGTGGCAAAAGCTCAGGTATTCACAAGCACACTTTCCTAGTATCTTGCAGCTTTCTAAAAATCAGTGGAGCAGCAGCCTTCCTAAACTCAACTGGTGGGCTGTTCCTTTTCAACAGTGGTTCCCTTTGAATGGATCTGGAGCAAGTAATAGCTGTTTTCATTCACCTACAGGGTTAGGATCCTTAGTAGATTTTATTCAGCTGACTTGGATGCATGCTCCCCTTAAACTACTAAGGCTTGCTTGTTTATTAATTTTAGCATGTTTTTATTATGTGTTTCTTCTAAAGAGCTCTGGATTACATGGATTTATTTTATTCTCACAACAGCTCTGTGAGATAGGGCCAAAGTGATTGACTGACATCAAGGAGGTTTCATGGTAGGGGGGAAATCTGAACTCTGTTTTTCATATCTGAGAGTTTCTGTTGCTATTTAGGGTAACATCTGTTCACCGGTGTCCTAGCACTTTTCCTCTGTATTTGTGTGTGAGAGAGCAGGAGAGGTATTTTGATGGCAATTTAATTAAGACGAGAAGTTGCAAAGGCCAGATGGCTTAGCCTGCATCACCTTCTTTGTTCTGTCCACCCTGATCAGCTACGTTTACAGTATATTGGTAGGCATAGATGTTCCAGTTTGTGTCCATTTAAATCAGTTGGTTTAGAGTGGAGTAACTATGATTGTAGCATTAGTGTTGCTTAAACTTTTCGTATAACCTTGCAGCTTTTTGAAAAGCTTGCTGCTTGAACTTCTTCATGTTAAAATGCTTTCATTTACTGCAGACTAACCAGCCATGGTTCTCACTAGTTTGAGCAAGATGACGGGACTTCAGAAAAAGACAGCCTGTATCAGGAATATATGTATACTAGCTCATGTGGATCACGGTAAGAATAGCTTCTTCACATTGAACAATAACAATGAATAATTACACAGCATCTTGAATCTTTTTAATAAGGACGTCTGGTCTTAAGCAGACTTTGTGCCATGAAATGAATTGATTGCTGCCTTGTAGCTCATCTCTGTGTTAAGTAACTTGTAGGTGGCAATTAAGTATGTGGATGAATAAGAATTTAAGAACAGCCTTTAGGGATCGAGCAAGGACCAGTCTGTCCCAGCGTTCTGTTTAAAGCAGTTGTTCAGAAAAATGATCCTAGGAATCCTGTGACCAGGACACAAAGGTAGTAGGGGTTTTCCGCAAGTGGAAAAAGTGAGTCAGATTTTGAATACATATCACTGTGGAATCCCACCTTAGTAATATTCCTTCGATTTGCCAATATGGATCACAGCTGTCTTGGATTAAAGTAAATGAAGTGGCTTCCCCTTGTGAAAGTTTGTGCATGTTCAGCAGATCATACGGTCTCTTTAAAGGTATCCTTATTTTATATTATGGAAAAATCAGTCAAATGAGGCAATATAACACAACACGACTATAGATATGTACTGAACGTTATCTAATTTTATTTAGATAACTGAGGTTTAAGGTGGATTACATAAATAAGTCAATCAACAGAGTGGAACATCCAGTAGAGCAGAGGTGTCAAACTCATTTGTTACGAGGGCTGGATCTGACAGAAATGTCACTTTGTCGGGCTGGGCCATGTGTGCCATAAAATGTAACACAAGGTACTGGAGATATAAACTTTATGAAGATGATTTCAGATACCGAATGGCAATAGCAGGCATGATTGGATTAGGTGTGATATGGAGAGGCGTGGAGATATCAGCATTGGTGTGATATACAAAGTCTTGGCAATATCAGCATTGGTAATGAGACAGGAAACCTAGGTCTCAATTTGGTACAGGAGAATTCAATCCAGATGATGCAAAGAATAAATGGAAGTAAGTCTGAAGAAGTGAGCAGTGAGTCATAAAAGCACATACCCTACCACAATGTTGTTAATCTTTAAATGTGCTACTGGACTCTTTCTACCACTTTTAGAAACCACAACATTAAAAAACCAGTGGGGGGGACATTTTAACCTTCCAGGGCATTCAGTTGCTGACCTAAGAGTAGTAGTTCTCTTACAAAGGAATTTCAAAGGGAGATTAGAAAAAGAGACTGCTGAATTGCAAATGATCAGGAAGCTCAAGACGACGCAAACTCCTGGACTGAATTGAGACCTAGGTTTCTTCTCTCATTACCAGTGCCTGCTATTGTCTTTTGGCATCTGAAATCACTTCACTCTCCAAGATATAAGGACAGATAGACTCACATTCCAGCTGTATCTGAAGAAGTGAGCAATGATTGGAGCTAGGGGGCAGCGGCGTGTCCCTGCGGGTGTGCGTTTGGGTCGCTCCCGAACAGCCCTGTCCTTCCCTATCTTTTTGAGGCTTCACGGGTTCCCAGGACTTTTGTCGGGCTTCGCCAGACCTCCTGGAGGGAGGCTGGTAGTAGGAAACTTGACTCCCCGCAAGTGGCAACGAATGGGGGCGAAGGAGAGTGTTTCAACATGGAGGCAAGGAATGGTGCAAAACATGGCCGCCACCCTTTTTAAAGACTATTGAAACTATAAAACATAATATACAGCAAACCAAGACACAAGAAGAAGTACAACGTGAATACTAATTCAGATTGTAAAGCTTGACGCACACTACTTTAAAACTCCTTTAAATGACCCTCATTATGAGAAAATCGGCCAGGAAGAGAAACGGGAAGAAAAATCACAGAAATGCTACTAATGGGGTACAAGGCGAAATAAAGATAACGGCATTTGAAATGGAGGAAACGGACTTCCGGTTTATGGCGACACGCTGAGCAGACTCATCTCCCGGTCCTCCCGGGGATGAAACCTGCGCACCAGCAGAAGGGGGGGGCGACACCTCGCTACCCCCCCGAGCCTGGTTGAAAGGCTCCTAGCCATGGGACTTTTGAGAGGTGGCCTCTTCGCCAGCGCAATGCTGGGGAATCGAGGCGCTTCTCCGTCCCGACGGTCCTCCTGCTCTGTGTCTGTATGGAACTAGTGACGCTGACCGGGACAAGCGCTGGAGATTGAGCGGTTTAAACGAAGCTACAGCGAGGTCGCAAGACCGAATATGAACTGTGAGTCGGATTAGAGCGTAATTGTTAATTTAAAAAGAAAGCTCCCACCCCATGGACTAGTAAGTAAAGCGAGCGGGGGAGGGGCCCCTCCCATGTGCATAAACTAAAAAGTGGATCCGAGGGGGGAGCGGAAGCAAAAACACTGAAATCTGTTGGGAGAGACTTACCAGGGCGCGTATGAGCGTATATTTAGAGACTTTAGCAAATTTTTGGAAAGTAAGCAATCCATAAAGATGGCGGGCAAGAGGACTGAGAAAGAAAAACTTTTAAAAGCAAAAGTAGCTGGGAGCCGTCGTCCGGAAGAAACCACCGAGTTGGCTAAAACGTTGGCAGAATCCCTGCGCCCCCTGCTGGACCAGATAACTAATCTCAAGGAACAGCTGTCAACGATGAACCAATGCATCACTACTCAGCAGCTTCAATTGAATACTAAAATTACAGAGCAAACAGCTGAGAATGTGAAAGAAGTTGACGCCAGTACTCAAAAGGTGAAGAAAAAGGTGCACAAACTGGAAAAGAAGCAAGTCTCTATGGAAGAACAACTTTTACAGCTACAAATGGAGAAGGCAAACCTGGTCCTTCGTTTCCAAGGTGTCCCAGAATCCAAAGGCAAGAATCTGAAGCAAATGATGAGCGAAGCGCTAGCCCCAGTGACAGATTTGAAGGCGGAATGTCTTATGAACAATGTAAACAAGAGAATTTACCACAAGATATTGGGACTCTAACTATAGAAGGATTTGAGAGGGCGCGTATGAGCGTATATTTAGAGACTTTAGCAAATTTTTGGAAAGTAAGCAATCCATAAAGATGGCGGGCAAGAGGACTGAGAAAGAAAAACTTTTAAAAGCAAAAGTAGCTGGGAGCCGTCGTCCGGAAGAAACCACCGAGTTGGCTAAAATGTTGACAGAAAATGGGAAAAAATACAAGGAAAGCTACAAAACATACCAGAGCTAAGAAAAGTCAGAAAGCTAATGGAAAGATATACTTTACAAGAAGGCTGGAAGCAAAAAGGCAAGAGTTAAATGTGGAACTTTACCTCTACAAGGAACTAAGACATTTAAATATGATTCTGGCAAAAAAGAAGCTACAGAAAATTAAGAAAAGAATACTGCAATATGATTTAAATATTGGATTTTGTTCTCGTAATGTCTGTGAGTAATGACGAATGGTTGGAAAAATAGTAATGTTAGTGGATGGGCTATTTAATTTTTACAAGAATTTTGTTAAATACTGAATGTAAGTAAAGCTGATCCATATTTAAATAATCACACTGAGTATAGTAGTTTAAAGAGATACTAGGCTGCAAAATAAGAAATAGTGAAATAAGGAACTAGAATGCAGCTTTAAGTGGGAATTTGACATAATGTTTTCTTGTGTAATTACTAGTGTTACTGGATGGTTTATTTAATTTATATAAGGTTTATGTTAAATATGGAATGTAAGCACGTTTGAGCCAGACTTAAACAAGCATATGAGTTTATAGCAGCTTAAATAGGTGTTAGGCTGCAAATTAGGAAATAATGAAATAATGGGATTAGAATGCAGCTTTTTTTTAGGTTGGAATTTTTGATAATATTCCTTTTTTTCTTTTTTATGTTTTTGAGTAATGACGAATGGCTGGAAAAAGATATGAAGGTTATATGATGGTTGAATACAGAATGAAAGTTAATTTGAGTTGGATTTTAATAACTGTATTTGTTATTTTAGTTCAAATAGAAGATAGGGAGCAAAAGAAGTAATAATGAATAATAAGGTGATTGTATACCTTTGTATAAGAATAGGTATATTTGGTAAAATTTTAAGTATTAATTTTGGTAGGGGCAAAAGGAATATATTTGTTAAAGCTGTATTTGTTAAAGGCTCTGTTTAAATGGTTTATATTTTATAAACTGGAAAAAGATAATAGAAGTAAATAACAAGAACATAAAGTGATATTGGTTAAAAATTATGTGGTTACTAGCAGAAAAGCCCGTTGTGAAACCGATACAACGGGATCTAGAAAGATGTGGTCTGTAACGAACGCATAGGCTGGATGGTGGTAAGGTAAACAGTAGTGGGTGAGGGTGGGAGGGGGGTGGGGAACGGCGGCGGCGGCCGGAGGCCTCTGCATCCCGTT